CTGGAGAAGGGAGGGCCTGAGGCATGTTCTCAGGGTGACCTGGCCATTCCATATAGACAGACCTCTTTCTCCTGCCAGCCGGGCCCTGGAACTGAGTCTGGCTCTGGTGAATAGCTCCAACGTGCGAGCCATGACACAAGAGCTGCAGAGCTTTCTGGAATCCTGCCCCCCTGATCTACGGGCCGACTGTGCCTCAGGAATCCTGCTGGCAGCAGAGAGGTGAGGTGACAGGTGCCCAGGAGGCAAAGACTAGGAGGTAAAGATGGGAGAATCTGGGGAGGGTCAGCACCAGGGCTGAAGAGCCGTGTGTCCCCTAGGTTTGCCCCAACCAAGCGGTGGCACATAGACACCATCCTGCGCGTGCTGACAACGGTGAGGCAGGAACTGGACTAAGAGCTGGGAGGGAGTGGGCGGGGCTCACCACCCTCACTTGGCCACATTCACCTCCTCCAGGCAGGCACCTATGTACGGGATGATGCAGTGGCCAACCTGACCCAGCTGATTGGAGGGGCCCAGGAGCTACACGCCTACTCCGTGCGCCGCCTCTACAGCGCCCTGGCAGAGGACATCTCTCAAGTACTGTTACCACCGCACAGACCTCGGGCCGCCCAACCCTCCTTGGCCTTCTTGGGCCACCTACTCCCTACATCTGAGTCCTAACTGTTTCTCCCTGGAGGTCACAGCTACCTACTTAGTGGAGACACTCAAGGATGGAGCCCTGTTTTTAGTTAGGACACCTAGACTTTTGAACTGGCTCTGGTATCTACTGGCCGTAGATACTACTACAGATGACTTATGTAAGTCTCCATCTGCTCAGCCTACTCCACCCTGTCTACCTCCCAGAGCAGTCTTGAGAATCAAATGAAATGGAGTTCTTTCTGCATGTATCAGGTTTTATTACCTTGAGTTCTGAGTGGATTAACAGAAGCCAGCCACTACCCGTAGTCATTTCTCCATATTAAAGTAAAGTGGGCAGAAACCATGTACCCCTTCCTCAAGGGAGGGACCCTCTTGCTTCACTCTCGCTGAGCCCCTTTTGAGGAAGCCATGTAGTTCTGATGCGTGGCCACCAGAGGGCAGAAGATGTCCAAGAGCCAGGACAGAGCCAGAGAGAAACACTCTTCCATAACTGTTTCAGGGCAAGACCTTTCCCGTTGCCCACGCCTGCAAACCCCACCACCTCTGTGCTGCATAAAGGGAGGTCACGGGTCTTGGAGGCTGAGGAGGGGACCCAGAACCTGGCCTAGCACGTTTCTTATCCCATGCAGCAACCATTGGTGCAAGTGGCAGCCTGGTGCATTGGAGAATACGGGGACCTCCTGCTGGAGGGTAGCTGTGAGGAAACAGAGCCCCTTCAGGTAAGACCTCCGCTGGGAGGACACCAAGGAGGGACTCGGCAGGAGAGGCAAGATGCCCCAGGGCTACTACTGTGTCTCTGCTGAAGGTGGAGGAAGAGGAGGTGTTGGCCCTGCTAGAAAAGGTGCTGCAGTCCCATATGTCCCTGCCAGCCACCCGAGGATATGCCCTGACAGCCCTCATGAAGCTCAGCACCCGGCTTCGTAGAGACAGCAGGTAAGAAAGGGTCCCAGCCCCTCCAGAGACCCTCTTCTTGGTGTCTCCAGGGACAGATGTCCCTTCATCATGCCCACCGGTTTCTGAGTTTCTCTCCATACACGCACCCCAGTTCCCCCAATCCTTAGGTTCTTCCTTTTGAGCCAAGTATCATGGGCACCCCACTGCTCTGGGGGGCCTTTCCCTCCCCTGCCATACTGTGGAGTTGAAGGGCAGGGCAGGCTGCCGTTCCACTCACACACCATCGTGTGGCCCAGCCGCATCCGCCAGGTGGTGTCCATCTTTGGGAGCTGCCTGGATGTGGAGCTGCAGCAGCGGGCTGTGGAGTACAGCACGCTTTTCCGGAAGTACGACCACATGAGGTGCGATTGGCGCTGTGCCGCGGTGTTGGACACACACCCCTGCCCTCTCCCCACCTGTCCTCTCCCTAGTACCCCTTTCCGGGCATGAGGGTCTCATCCTCACCTGTGTCCTTCCTCAAACACAGTCAGAGCCTCCCACCTGTAGTTCATTGAAGCTAAGTTGGCTTCCAACCCTCATTGCTCATCTGAAAACTGGCCACAGAGTGCCATCTTAGGAAATCAGAAAGGCACTCTGACCCACCGTGTGCCCAGGGTTCTGCATGGTCTCGCCCTTCCTTCCCCATAGTTCTTATGAAAAGCCCAAGGTCCACCCAGAGGGACACACCTGTATTCCATCCTCTCAGGGCCGCCATCCTGGAAAAGATGCCTCTTGTGGAGCGAGGCAGGCCTCAGGTTGATGGGGAAGCAGAGGAAAGCAAAGAAACCCAGCTTTCGGAAACAGCCCTTGTGTCCACAGAGCCTCAGGTGAGGAGGCCGGAAGCCGCAGGGGGATAAGGACTTGGTCGGGCTTCCACACCCAGCCCTGCTCCTTCTGCCCTTTCCCCTAGGCCTCCAAGCTCTTGGATCTGTTAGATCTCCTGGATGGCACTTCTGGGGATGCCCAGCCCCCACCCCCTCTGGATCCCTCCCCCAGAGGCACTTTAATACACCTCCTCGACCTTCCCTGTGCACCTCCACCCCCACGTAAGCCGCAGCAAAGGGGAGATGGGGCGGGGGTCACCTGGGTCACCTGGGTGGCTCAGTCAGTTAAGCATCTGACTCTTTTTTTCTTTTTTTAAAGTGTTTATTTTGAGTGAGAAAGAGAGAGAGAATCCCCAAGAGCACAGAGCCCGATGCGGGGCTCACATGGGTCTCCATCCCATGAACCACAAAATCGTGACCTGAGCCAAACTCAAGAGTCAGTTACTTAACTGATTGAGCCACCCAGGTGCCCCAAGCGTCCAACTCCTGATTTTGGCTCAGGTCATGATCTCGTGGTTCATGGGACGGCGCCCCACGTCGGGCTCTGGTAGCACAGAGCCTGCTTGGGATTCTCTCTTTCTCTGTCCCTCCTGCACATGCATGCACGCTCTCAAAATAAATACATAAACCTTAAAAAAAGAAAGTGGAGGGGCGCCTGGGTGGCTTAGTTGGTTAAGCGTCCGACTTTCGCTTAGGTCATGATCTCGCGGTTCGTGGGTTCGAGCCCCGCATCGGGCTCTGTGCTGACTGCCAGCTCAGAGCCTGGAGCCTATTTCAGAGTCTGTGTCTTCCTCTCTCTCTGACCCTCCCCTGCTCACGCTGTCTCTCTCTGTCTCTCTCTCCTAGAAATAAATAAAAAATATTAAAAAAAAATAAAAAAATAAAAAAAAAATAAAAAAAGAAAGTGGAGGGAGATGGGAGGTGTCTTAAGAAAAGGAGGGGTAGAAATGTGCTGCTTCTCCTTCTTTGCCAAGATCACATCCCTCTCACATCCCCATCGTGAGAGGTAAAAGTGTTCATTAGCTGGTGCCAGTTCCCTCCCACATAACTCTCAGTGCCTCCCCTTTGTTCCAGACTTCTTACCCTTACCTGTGGTGCCCGGCTTCCTCCCAGCACGCCTCATCTACTTTCCCTGCTACCGCTCCACTGGCCCCTGCCAGCGTCTCAGACCCTCTCACCTGAAGCCCTTGGCAACTTGTGTTCCTTTTACATGAATGTTCTTGCCCAGCACACCAAACGCCTGGCTCCTTCTCATTTTTCAGGCCTCAGCTAAACTGTCGGATGCCTCCCCCTGCCACTCCTAAGTTAGTTCCCCCCAGTTATTCGGACATAGTTAATGGTCTTCATAGCAACACTTAGTCTGTGATTATCTTGGTTGTTTTCTTGTTTATTGTTTCTCTGACTGCTAGACTATGAGTTCCATCTTGTTGTCTACTTTGTCACTAGCACCTCAAGCACTGCCCTGCACCCTGTGGGCTCTCTCTTCATTTCTGTTCAATGAATGAATGAATAAGCGAGCTTTTTATCTTCGCCCATACACGGAGCTGCTTCTCTCTCCATGTTCCAGCTTCCATCCCAGATCTCAGAGTGTTTGAGCGTGAAGGACTACAGCTGAGTCTGTCTTTTGTTCGACCCCCTGGAACTCCTGCTTTGCTCTTAATCACAGTCACTGCTACCAACACCTCAGGGGCTGATGTCACCCACTTCATCTGCCAGGCCGCCGTGCCCAAGGTTTGTGGAAGACCAGGATTCAAGGTGGCCTGGGCACTCGAGGAGAAAAGGCTATGTAGAGGAGGTGGGTGGGGGGAAGAACGAGAAGGGAATGACATTCAGGGACAAGCACTGGGGAAGTTATGGGAAGCGGGTTTAAGACTCTTGGGTGTGGAGGGGTTGCTGAGCCCAGCTAGCTGCCTTACTGTGTTCTGCCCAATCTCCTGTGCTCAGAGTTTCCAACTGCAGCTACAGGCCCCCAGTGGGGACACAGTTCCAGCTCAGGATGGCCTTCCAGTGACCCAGCTCCTCAGAATCCTCAATCCTAACAAGGTGAGCTCCAAAGCACTCACCCACCCGCTTCCTGTTGATAAGGCCCAGGGACAGGAGACGTCGCAGGTACTAACCCCGGTCTCCACTCTCGTACTCCTAGGCCCCCTTGAGGCTAAAGCTGCGCCTCACCTACAACCACTTTGGCCAGTCGGTGCAGGAGATCTTTGAGGTGAACAACTTGCCTGTGGAGACATGGCAGTGACTCAGCCTCCACTCACGGTCTGAAATCCTCCTGTGTCCCAAACCCCCCAGGGTCCCAGCCACTTTGAGCCTGTACCTGATGGCTACCAGCAGGTGGTGCTCTGCGCCTGTGCTTGCCTCTGCAAAAACTGGGGGAGTGGGGGATGCTGCCTTCCCCAATAATGAGAGCCCAATAAAGCCTGAGGGGCAAAAGCCATATTTGGGTATATTTGAGATAGAAGGCGTTTATGAATCATAGCAAGGGAAGGATTTTCTTTTTTTTTTTTTTCAATGTTTATTTTCAAGAGACCAAGTGTGAACGGGGGAGGGGAAGAGAGAGAGAGAGATAGGGAATCTGAAGCAGGCTTCAGGCTCTAAGCTGTCAACACAGAGCCCAATGCGGGGCTCAAATCCATGAACTGGAAGATCATGACCCGAGCCGAAGTTGGAGGCTTAATTAGACTGAGCGACTAGCGCTCTGGGAAGAGTTTTCTTATTCAGAAAGTAAACTTGTGTATTTTCCCCTGAGCCTTAGGAACCTATTTTAATAAATGAGGACTTTGCTTTCTTCCCCTTCCAGGTTTGGGAGCAAATCTGCCCCTACACCTCCATAGGAGACACTGTACCATTTGGGCCAGAGTAGGGTACAGGAGCAAAAAGTAATACAAAAACTTCTAGATCTCTAACGGATTCCCACCTCCTTCCCCAACCTGCTGCTATTTCCCACACCCCAAGGCAGGGAAATCCCTGCTGCCTCCCCTCATCTCTAACTCAGCTGTAAGGCGGTTTAGGAGCCGCTGGCAGAATCAATGGCATCGACCAAGGGAGGGGGGTGGCAAGGGATTTTCCTGTGCTTAACTACTGATCACAGCTAAGTGGAAATCCTATAAACACGAGCGGAAATCAATGGAGGCTGCTTAGCGGCCAGGGGAGAGGGGCGGCCCACAGATTGCATCTGACGGATGAGGGAGAGGAGGCAGCCAGGGAGGGCTCAAGGAAGGATCGCTGAGGGTGAGGTGAAAGAAGAGGCGGAGCTGGAGAGAGAGGAGTCAGTGTGGGAAGAAGGCCGGGGAAGAGGCACAGTGAGGCCAGGAGGGAACCCTCTTAAACTCAGAGTTCTCTTCCCTGCTGAGGAAGTGACACCCTAGCCCAGGTTGCCGTCAGGATCTTTAGTCCCCCTGTGGCTTCTCTCCACAGCTGTGTCCTTGTAGCAGGCGCTGATAGTCCTGCGGCTGGAAGCGCTGTAGGTACACGATCAGCTTGGCAGGCGCTCTCTCCTGTACCGGCACACCTACAGGAAAAAGGGGAAGCAGGAGAGAATCAGACAGAGCTGCAGATGCTTTGACTCTGCTCTCTGTCCACAGAGCCAGACCCCAGAGTTGTTTCCAAGGCAGCACTGGGATTCTGAACCAGCTTCTATAACCCTCCAGCCCACACCCTGCCTGGCGTGTGGAAATGGGGCCTACGAGCACCACTTCAGGTAGTAGTGGGGCTAGGAAGCCAAGTGTGAGCCTCACCTCCAGCAAAGGACAAATGGTGAGGAGGCGCTCAGGTGCCCTGAAGACAGAGGGTGCCTCAGTATCCACTCATTTCAGCTATTGCTCCTGTCCCTCAATCGAGATTAAAGCCCATCTAGGCAGGCCGGAGCTCATCAGGTTGGTAATGATGCACATGCAGAGATACACACAGAGAACCCAAAGGCTATAGAAGAAAGGAGAGAAGTAGCTACAGCCGTGGGGTGGGACTCACACAGAATTCTAGCCTCTAGAGTGGTGGTATGGAGCCATGAGAAGTCATATCTTATTGTTAGTGCCCGGCAGCATGCTGAGCATCTAGCAGGGAGCTCAGCATATGCTTGTTGGGAAAGCAAGAACAGCATTCCACGGCTTTAAGGCTTCGTGGGATGCGCAGGCCCACACTTGTGTGGATAAACTGTCTACAGAAAAGAAATCAGCCAACACTTGTCCTGCTGTCTGTCACGTAAATACAGTGGTCTCACCTTTTTACCTAAAGTCAACAGGACAAATTAAATTAGGGCTCCAGGTAGTTGTACAAATAAGAGGACAGGATTTGGGAGAAAGAAGGATGGGTGGATGGATTAAAACAGAGATCTGATGCAAACTTGGGAGTGGCTGGAGGTGTGCGAACTAAATGAGGCAAGGATTGAGAGAGATTAGAAACCTGGAAGGATTTGACTCAGGGCAGGCAGCTACTGGAAAAGCAAACTGGGTCCTCTAAAAAACTGCTCAGGCAACCCCTATTGCAGAAATAACCCCGAGAGCCTCTGCACGAACCCTCCCCACGAACCCATTCAGTGGGTACACCCAGATGGATGCTGAAGCCGAGGAACACACAGAAGGGCCTGGCTCCCTCACCAAGCATGCTGCTGAGTCTGCGAATCTTCTCAAGGGCAGCTGGGACTTCAACCTCCTTGTGCACCAGGGCCTCTACCTCACCTACGGTGTAGCCGAAGTCTGCTGTGTCCAAGTCCACCCTGAGTGGAGGCTCCTCTTCATCAACTCCAGAGAGCACCAGCTTCCAGGAGCTACGCTTAGTCACAAAACTAGCTACTTCCCGCAGCCCCAGTGGGCCCAGCACAGCTGCCACACCTCCTGCCCCCAGGACCTCAGCCCCCAGCACCTCACAGAGCTGGGCCACAACTGCAGGCTCAACTGTAACTTCCACATACTCCTGGTGGGGTTCTGAGACGCCCGCTGTTCCAGGACATTTGAGCTCCCAGCCACTACCCTCTCGCTGCCGCAGCCAGTGGTCAGCCTGCATGAGGCTCAGCTCAGGGGTGTCATAGTAGCTGTCCCGGAAGGTAACCTGGTGCTCTAGGGTGCCCCCCAACTCCTGCAGCCGCTTCTCTGTGCCAGGCCCAGGAATGAACTTTCGCTCCACCTCAATCAAGGCCTGGTCCGTGATATCTGCAATCAGTCAATCAACAAACATTTGCTGAGCTCCCAAGGGTGCTCCCCCTTGCAGGATGACAATTCAGTAACCCCTTTCCCCCCAGGAAGAACTTAAGAGGAACACACAGTCACAGGGCTCTGTTGGGACTATAGCCCCTTCTCCCTGCCTAGTGATGGATGGCCCCTTCTGTCTGATGTTTTAAGGCCCTCCAGGTAATCCCTTACGCCGTTCACGATGGCCTCAATTTAAAGGGCTCCCTAGAGAACTGTGGTGGGTGTCCTCCTTTCAGTACTTGCCGTCCACACCTTGCTACCCCAGGTGGCCAGTGGCTCACTTCCAGGAACGACCCCGCCCTTCGCCACAGCACCGGGCATTGGAGCCCCGGGTCTCACCTCAAAGCCCGAGGACCTCCCTCCCCGGGGACCTGGAGATGGGAGAGGGGTGCCCACACCACGCTAGCGAGGAATGCTGGGAGTAGTACCTGGCCTCGGACCTCGGCCCGGCTCTCGGTGCACCAGGCCTGTCCCAGCACAAGCGGCCATATTAGGTGTGATGTGGCAGTGCCAAGGACAGGCCGGGGCTTGAGAGGCCAGTCACGTGATAGGGATGCTGCGACCTCGGCGGTAGGCCGGGAGCGCAGAAGTCCCCCTGTGCCTTGCTCCTCCTCTCCGACTCTTCCTGGTTCCCGCGGGTCCGCCCGGGTCTCAGGCCTCAGTCTGAGCCCAGAAGCGGGAGGGGTGGGGGGGGAGGTCCAGGTGCATGATGGGAGATGTAGTTCCAAAGGGAGATTTTGCTTCCTCGCCTCGCCCGTCGCTATGGTGACAGGAAAGCTGTGATTAGTGCCCCAGAGACCCTACGTAAAGTTGAGCAGGGGCGGTGTGGACGGTCGGACGGAAGGAGCTGAGCCCCAGTCCCATCTCCAGCCCTCTCACTCCCTAGGCAGATGGACCTGAAATCCAAGCAACTCACTCGGACGCTGTCCCAACAGATATTTTACTGACTATTATGGCGGTCCACAAATACAGGCCAGTGGCAATGGGTTGAAAAAAGGGATAACTCAGGCCAGTTTAACTACTCTGGAGTAGCAACCTAGAGTGAAAGTTTAGGGTAAGGGTGGAAAACTGTCAGAGGAGGAACGGAGTATTTTGGATAAGAACTAGAGACACTGGGATTTCAACAGTTAGAGACATAGATGGAGACAGGAATAGCATGAGCAAAGACCAAGAAGCTGGAGAGCACCTGGCCAGTGTGTAAGGAGAAGGAGATGAGGCTAGAAACACTGCTGAAGAATATGTATGGCCTTGAGGGTCAACCAGACTGAGCAATTTGTCACTGAATTGCCAGTGGCCCCTGAGCAGGCTTTGTGCGGAGTGGGAGAAATACTCGTGTTCGCTTAAAACACAGGAAGACACTGGAATGGCCCCTTGACTGCTTTGGGAGACAAAATAGAGAAGGCCCCTTCTCCTTACTCCCTCTGAGGACTATGCTTACCTGGAGATGTCACCGTGTGTCTGATCCTCTGGGTGAAGTAGCTTGCTGAGGAACAGTGGCTCTTGTCAACTCCTATGATGGGTGAGAAGTGCCAGATTGTCAACATCTGCATTTCTCAGTAGCTTTCTAGAAACAAACGACCTGTGGGAAGTGCTGTGGGGAAGGCACTGATTCAGACATGACATTTTGAGCTTGGGATGTCTCGGATGCATCCCTCCTCCACCCCATAACAGGAACCAGCAGTCAGGGAGGTGAGGGCCTCCAGCCCCTAGCTCCAATCACTGACCTACTTTTCATCCCTCCTTTGCTTTGCAGTTTTCCTCCCTGGGGAAAAAGACCTCTTTTCCTTAATTATAAAGTGCTTTTCTCTGAGTTACAAGGTTCAGTCCAGTCGGGCAGAGGCAACAGTTTAGCTGAAAGACCAGACTCAGGGACCAGACAGACCTGAGGTAACTCCCAGCTTGGATTTCCAGATGTTTGGTCTTGGGCAAGCTACTCCACCTCCCTAAACGTCTCATTTCTCCATGGTAAAATGTGAACTGCCACAGTTATGTGTGAGGATTCAGTGAGAAATTGTCACAAGAGATTCAAAATGTTAGTTTCTTTCTTCTTCCTCTTTTCCTGTGAACTCCAGGGTTCTTTTTCTTTTCCCTTCTTTCTCTCCTCCTTTCCTTTTCTTTTTCTTATTTATTTTATTTTTAAGAGGAGTAGGCTATTGCAGCTGTTGTGAGCTCTAGAGTCAGACTACTTTAAAAAAAATTTTTTTTTAATGTTTTATTTATTTCTGAGAGAGAGAGAGAGAGTGGCAGCGTGAGCAGGGGAGGGTCAGAGAGAGAGGGAGATACAGAATCTGAAACAGGCTCCAGGCTCTGAGCTGGCTGTCAGCACAGGGCCCGAAGCGGGGCTTGAACCCATGAACCATGAGATCATGACCTGAGCTGAAGCTGGACACTTAACCGACTGAGCCACCCAGGCGCCCCTAGAGTCAGACTACTGAGGTGCTGGTGCTGTCACTTATTGGCTGTGTGACCTTGCACCACCTAATTAACTTGTTTGTGCCCTGGTTTCCTCACCTGTAAAATGGGAATAGTTGTGAAGATTAAGTAAGTTACTATACATAAAAGGTCTTGGAAACTGTCACTGTGCACTAAATAAATCTTAGCAGTTATTATTATTACAATATAAATGAGCTTATAAACTGAAGATGAGGACCAGGAGCCATATCCTCCCTTTCCCCCATCCAACACTCAGTGGAGACAAGCTCTCAGGGACTTCAGAGTAATTGCTGTGGAAGAGAAGTTTCTAATGCCCAACTGGAAAGGAGGGGGATTAATAAGGCAGAAAGAAGGGAGTGGGGGGGGGAGAGGGAGTGGCCTGGGGTGGCTCTGGGAGGCTGGTAGAAGCTCAGGCTTGCTCTAGAGCTGATTTAAAACAACAAAAACACATGTATGGTTTCTGTAGGCGGGATAAAGAAGAGAAAAACACGGGAAAGAGTTTAAAGACAGCTGCCCCCTTTGCAAGCACCGGCTTGGACTCAGCGCCACAATCTTGCAAGGCAGCCCCGCCCGCTCGCTGGCCTGTCCTAGGGCCTCGGGTCCAGCGCAGGCACGCAGCGTTTGCTGGCCTCTGGGTGGGAGCGGGGACAGATGGACTACAACTACCGGCATTCACTGCGGCGGGCGGGCCGCTGCACCTGCTCAGTGGGGCCGCCCCGGGCGCCTGGGTATTGATTATTCCATTGTGTGGGACGCCTCGGCTCCAGCCAGTGAATGAGGCGGAGGAGTGAGGGCGAGGAGGAGGAGGAGGAGGAGCAGGAGGAGGAGGGTGAGGAGGAGGAGGGCGAGGAGGAGGAGGCAGGGAGCGAGCGAGTGCCCAGGGTGAATCAATGGAAACCCCCTCACGAAGCCGGGAAAACACTTCAGCCGCAGCCAAATAGCATTGATTATTTTCCTTCACTTCCCTCACCGCCGTGAATTTATTTATTTATTTTTTTTCCATCTCCGTCCCCGACGCCCCGGAGTGAGCGCTGGAGGGAGGGAGGAGGAGGGGGAAAAAAAAAGGAATCAACACATCGGAGAAGTCCCTTCCAAGAGCCGCCCCCTCCCCTCCCCGCCTCGCGCTGCTCGGCGGCCGCGGTTCGACTCCCGTCCCTGCTTCCAGCTGAGGTGTAAGTGCATCGATTTCCGATGCTGCTGGGTTGTTTTTTTTCTCCTCTCCCTCTCTCTCTTCTTCCTTTCCTTGCTCTTTGGAAGCTGGAGACGGAGGGGAGAGGAGGCGCTCGGAGACTGCCGCTGGAGGGCACGGAGAGGGACAGGAAAGGACTGGGGGAGGGGACACGGACGGACGGACAGACCGACCGAGAGCCTGAGGAGGAGGGGCATGGGCAGGGGGGAGGGGGCGTGCGAGCGAGGATGGTGGCGGGTGGGAGATAGAGATGCAGGGGTGGAGGGAGAGACGGCGAAGGGAAAGGCATCGAGGCTGGACCGGGAGCCAGCCGGACAGACGGAGGGTAACGAGAGCCTTAGACGGACCGCGCCGAGCTGTGCGGGTAGCGGGGGTCCCGGAGGGAATGGGAGGCCGGGTGAGTGAGGGCTCGGAGCTGTCAGCCCAGAGGGGCCTGGGTCTCGGCTGCCCCCCGCCGGCTGCGGGATCGGGAACCGCGGCGGGCGGGCTGATGGATGGGCTAGCGTGCTGGGGATGGGGGTGAGGGTGGGGGTGGGTGGGAGGAGATATGGATAACTCTTAATCTTCGATCTTCGTTTTTGCCTGAAGTTGAGTTGGGTTTGTTTTTTTTTTTTTTTTGGAAAGGTGCCAGTAGGTGAGGGGAGGCCACTGCTCCATTCAAGGTGAAGTGTGTCTCTCCTGGCCCCCCAACTCTCCATGCGCTCTTGTCTGGCCCCCTCTCAGAGTACCCATATCATTTTTGAGCACTGGACCATGCTGGTCTCGATGTGCCTGTCGCCCTGCTGATCTCTGTCCATGTGTCCCTGCCTCTTGATTTTGCCATTCTTCGCCTCATTCATTCTCCCCACCCATCCATCTCTGGGTCTGTGTGTCACTGTCTCCGCATGTGACTCTTCCTATCCTAGTGATCCTCTCCCTGTGTGTCCCTGTCACTGTGTGTCATGCCTTGGCTGCCTGACTGGTCCGTCTAGGACTCCATGCCCTCTCCTTCGGGGTCCTTATGATTATCTCAGGCCTTCTCAGGCTACTTTTTTCATGCTTACCATGACCGTGGTAGTCAGTGGTCAGGGGCCTGGAAAGAGTCTGAGGGATGGAGCAGATGTGTCTCCCCCAAGGACTCAGGTACCCTTTCAGCACAGCCAGGACAGACTCCTCTTCCGCCTTCACCCGGGAAGCTTTGGAACTTCTAGCATTGTGGACTGTCTCCTTTGCCATGTGCCTGTCTCCCCCACCAGGACCTTCGGTCTCCTGTGTGTCATCTGCCTCTCCAGGAGCTTCCCACCGCAAACCTTTTCCATGCTGACTTGATTTCCTCCCTTTCCTCACTTTGCCATTGTACATTTTTTCATTTCCCCATTTTGTGTCCCACCTTTTTTTCTTTTTGCATTCCTGTCTCCCATGGTCTCCCTTGCCTATTATTTACCTTTGTTCCCATAACCTGCCCTCTGCCTACCTTTTCTCTTTGGTCACCCTAATTCCTTCTTGTCCCTTATCCTCTCACCCAGTGTTTTAACCTCAGCAGCAGAAGGTACCAGAGAGGAAGGGGCTGGGAGAGAGAGGGGGTATGGTTTGTGAAGGCACATAAACAGGCCAAGAAATCAATTTAATGGGCTTCCAGGGGCATATAACCCCTTCATCAGTCAGGGCCATTATGTCCATTACCTGTCAACTTTGATTTTGTAAGGGGACATTCTCTAGGACTCTGAGCTCCACCCTGCTTGGTCGCCTCTCATCCTTCAGGTCATTCTAGATATCCGTGGCTTTTTCTTCACTTTCTAGTTCATGTTCTTCCTGGGCTCCTGTTATTATCGTATTTGGATTCAGCGTGACCCTTTACGAGGCCGTTTTCATTCATATGACAGAAGCTATCTTATGCAAGAGGCCAGGTTCGTTCAGCCTAAAGAATGGGAAAGGTGGATAGAGTCTGGATGGAGGGTTTACAATTTAAGCCCATCATTGTTTTCCATCCCTTGGAGCTTGGAAGGGTAAAAGGAGGAGGTAGACAGGGGCAGAGGATGGAAGATTTCCGAGGTGAACAGTGTTCC